GTTCTAGTTTCAGTTCGAGTTCATTCTAGTTCATTCAGTTCATTCTAGTTCAGTTTTCTATTTCATTTCTAGTTCAGTCAGTTAGTTCAGTTCTAGTTCAGTTCTTAGTTCAGTTCTAGTTCAGTTTCTAGTTCAGTTCTAGTTCAGTTCTAGTTCAGTTCTAGTTCAGTTCTAGTTCAGTTCTAGTTCAGTTCTAGTTCAGTTCTAGTTCAGTTCTAGTTCAGTTCTAGTTCAGTTCTAGTCAGTTCTAGTTCAGTTCTAGTTCAGTTCTAGTTCAGTTCTAGTTCAGTTCTAGTTCAGTTCTAGTTCAGTTCTAGTTCAGTTCTAGTTCAGTTCTAGTTCAGTTCTAGTTCAGTTCTAGTTCAGTTCTAGTTCAGTTCTAGTTCAGTTCTAGTTCAGTTCTAGTTCAGTTCTAGTTCAGTTCTAGTTCAGTTCTAGTTCAGTTCTAGTTCAGTTCTAGTTCAGTTCTAGTTCAGTTCTAGTTCAGTTCTAGTTCAGTTCTAGTTCAGTTCTAGTTCAGTTCTGTTCTAGTTCAGTTCTAGTTCAGTTCTAGTTCAGTTCTGGTTCAGTTCTAGTTCAGTTCTAGTTCAGTTCTAGTTCAGTTCTAGTTCAGTTCTAGTTCAGTTCTAGTTCAGTTCTAGTTCAGTTCTAGTTCAGTTCTAGTTCAGTTCTAGTTCAGTTCTAGTTCAGTTCTAGTTCAGTTCTAGTTCAGTTCTAGTTCAGTTCTAGTTCAGTTCTAGTTCAGTTCTAGTTCAGTTCTAGTTCAGTTCTAGTTCAGTTCTAGTTCAGTTCTAGTTCAGTTCTAGTTCAGTTCTAGTTGAGTTCTAGTTCAGTTCTAGTTCAGTTCTAGTTCAGTTCTAGTTCAGTTCTAGTTCAGTTCTAGTTCAGTTCTAGTTCAGTACTAGTTCAGTTCTAGTTCAGTTCTAGTTCAGTTCTAGTTCAGTTCTAGTTCAGTTCAAGTTCAGTTCTAGTTCAGTTCTAGTTCAGTTCTAGTTCAGTTCTAGTTCAGTTCTAGTTCAGTTCTAGTTCAGTTCTAGTTCAGTTCTAGTTCAGTTCTAGTTCAGTTCTAGTTCAGTTCTAGTTCAGTTCTAGTTCAGTTCTAGTTCAGTTCTAGTTCAGTTCTAGTTCAGTTCTAGTTCAGTTCTAGTTCAGTTCAAGTTCAGTTCTAGTTCAGTTCTAGTTCAGTTCTAGTTCAGTTCTAGTTCAGTTCTAGTTCAGTTCTAGTTCAGTTCTAGTTCAGTTCTAGTTCAGTTCTAGTTCAGTTCTAGTTCAGTTCTAGTTCAGTTCTAGTTCAGTTCTAGTTCAGTTCTAGTTCAGTTCTAGTTCAGTTCTAGTTCAGTTCTAGTTCATTTCAGTTCTAGTTCAGTTCATTTCAGTTCTAGTTCAGTTCATGATTAGTTCACAACTGCAACTATCTTTGTCTCATTTGATTTGAGTTCCCTAATAGACAATCCAGGCCTTAGATTTTTATTTCATCATACAAACATAAAGGACACATTTGTAATTTATAAATTTCCCAAAAACCAGTTTAAACTAATTCAAAGTAAACTTAAGGAATTTAGTGACGATATTATACAGAAAAGGGATATTCCTAATTAGCATTCTAGTAAAACCAGTTTAATGACCTTTACCCAACTTAAGCCTTTAATAAATGACCTTTCTTCAAGAAGATTTTTAGGTAGAAGCTGCAAAATAGGACAACTTTTTTTTCTTTTAGGATTTGAATTAACGGGAAATAGTCCTTTAAAATTAATATATTTTTTCAGAAAGCAGACTTTGTTGTTGTTGTTGTTTTTATTCGGTTACCTGTGCTATATTTATGTACACAATTATATAAACAATATATTATAGTGTTTTTCTTTTTGTTGTTGTTGTTGTTTTCAGTTTATTATAGTTCAACGAAATACGCGTGTGAGAGCGCGAGTCAGTGAGTGTGGTGATGGGCGGAGATGGAAATTTAATATTTTGAACAATTTGATGTCATTTCGACTAGTCTATGGACTAGGGTATGGACTTGTCTGTGGAGTAGTCTATGGTTTAGTCTATGGATTAGTATAAAGTCTAGTCTATTGCTCTATGGACTAGACATAGATAATCTATAGTGTATAGTCTGGACTATATACAGTCCACAGTCTGTACTATCTATAGTCCGTAGTCTGGACCATCTACAGTCAACAATCTAAACTATATATAGTCCACAGGCTGGATTATATATAGTCACAGTCTGGACTATCTACAGTCCACAATCTGGACAAGCAATAGTCTACAGTTTGGACTATCTGTAGTCCACAGTTTGGACTATCTATAGTCCACAGTCCCTACTATACTAGTTCAGTTCTTGTTCGGTTCTGGTTCAATTCTAGTTTAGTTCTAGTTCAGTTCTAGTTCGGTTCTGATTCAATTCTAGTTCAGTTCTAGTTCAGCTCTAGTTCAGTTCTAGTTCAGTTCTAGTTCAGTTCTAGTTCAGTTCTAGTTCAGTTCTAGTTCAGTTCTAGTTCAGTTCTAGTTAGTTCAGTTCTAGTTCAGTTCTAGTTCAGTTCTAGTTCAGTTCTAGTTCAGTTCTAGTTCAGTTCTAGTTCAGTTCTAGTTCAGTTCTAGTTCAGTTCTAGTTCAGTTCTAGTTCAGTTCTAGTTCAGTTCTAGTTCAGTTCTAGTTCAGTTCTAGTTCAGTTCTAGTTCAGTTCTAGTTCAGTTCTAGTTCAGTTCTAGTTCAGTTCTAGTTCAGTTCTAGTTCAGTTCTAGTTCAGTTCTAGTTCAGTTCTAGTTCAGTTCTAGTTCAGTTCTAGTTCAGTTCTAGTTCAGTTCTAGTTCAGTTCTAGTTCAGTTCTAGTTCAGTTCTAGTTCAGTTCTAGTTCAGTTCTAGTTCAGTTCTAGTTCAGTTCTAGTTCAGTTCTAGTTCAGTTCTAGTTCAGTTCTAGTTCAGTTCTAGTTCAGTTCTAGTTCAGTTCTAGTTCAGTTCTAGTTCAGTTCTAGTTCAGTTCTAGTTCAGTTCTAGTTCAGTTCTAGTTCAGTTCTAGTTCAGTTCTAGTTCAGTTCTAGTTCAGTTCTAGTTCAGTTCTAGTTCAGTTCTAGTTCAGTTCTAGTTCAGTTCTAGTTCAGTTCTAGTTCAGTTCTAGTTCAGTTCTAGTTCAGTTCTAGTTCAGTTTATAAACTAGACTATTGCCTAGTCTATGAACTAGTCTAGTCTAATGCCTAGTCTATGAACTAGTCTATGTACTAGTCTATTGATTAGTCTATGGACAGTCTGTGGACTTGGCTATTGCCTGACTTTTCCAACCCTGATGTGGTGCATTCTTTTTTTTTTTGTTGATTTCTTTTCATTTTAGAACTTAAAAAGAGGCATTAGCACCATCAAACCAACAACAACAACAACAAAAACCATTTGTAAACATACAAAAAGAAAGAGGAAGAATAAAAGTGTATAAATGAGAGAGTGTTTTTGAAACATATGTACATATGTGAATGTAGCAGTAAAAAGGGAATAAAAGTAAAAACAAAACCGAGAAATAAAAATACAGGGAAATCATCCCGTTTCCCGATGCCCATTGCATATGTATGTAAATGTTTGAGTAAAATGTTGCTTTCTAAACTCACGCACTTTTCGCTTGGAAAAAGATATTATTAAGCGGAGCGGTGGTGCTCTTTTTTTTGTTTTGTTTTTTTTTTTTTTTGATGTTGGGAAAAAAAGGCCTTAGAAAGCAGGGATTTTTTTGTTTGGTGTATCGAGTAGTTTGTGTGAGTATAATGTTGGGAAGTTGTTGTTGTTGTTGTTGTTGTTGTTGTTATGTTGCATATAATATATTTAGTTTGTAGCAAGAACATTTAGAGTAGGAAAAAAAACAGCCAGTCGAAAATTTTCCCTTATACTGTACGGACGCTGGATACGGAAGAAAAAACGTTATGAGAAAGAGAGAGAGTTTACGGTATCAGTTGTGTTTATAACTACTTTATGTATGTTTTTGCTGTAATATATAGAAAAGTTTTAATTTTTTTTGGATTATAAATTGAAATTTTAACAAAAATTTATTAAAAGAAACTAAAACAAGTGAGAGAAATAATAATAAAGTTATTAAAGTTTTGAAAACAAAAGGATTATAAAAAATGTTTTAAAAGTTTTATAAGTTTAACAAAAGAATTTGTTTAATTTTCGGTGGAAAAAGTAAAGTTTAACAAACTTGTTTGTAGTATAAGAAAAAAAATGGCTGTCTTTTTTTTGTGGAACCAGGAATAGAAAAAGAAATTTGTTGTAGAAAATCGAGGAGTTTAAGAAGAAGCAGCTAAAAAAAAATCTATACTAAGGATATATAAATCCTGTTATAAAATAAAACGAGTCTTCCTGTTTCTCTATGTGTGTTTCTTTTTAACGTGTAAAACCGTTTATTTTTGTTTGTTTTTTGTTGTCTGTGTGTGTGTGTGTGTATACTCCCTCTTTCTCGCTGTTCTCATACTTACACAATCGTGCTTCGTTGAGTTTGTTGAAACATCACACATTTCTTATCAAACGTTCGTTCGTTCATTCGTTCGGTCATCACTCTCGCTCGTTCTTTGCTCTTTCGTATACTTACTTTTACTCTCTATTATAAAAACACTTAAAACAAATACAATTGCGCGCTCTCTAACTCTCTGTGTGAATTTTTCTTAAATAACAGTGAAAAATAAAAAAAAAACAAATAAATAAAACAGCAAAACCAAAACTTATGGTCCTTCTTACTCGGTCTGATAATAAAATTTCTTTAAAAAAAAGGCCGGAAAATTAAAAGAAAAATTAAAATACCTTAAATTTAAACAAAATCTTTAATAAATTAAAAAAAAATATCATAATAAAACCAAATAAAAGAAAACCAAAAAAAAAAAAATTTCCCCCAAAAACAAAACTCTTGAAAAAATTACTTAAAAGAAAACCAAAAAAACTTAAATATATATAAAATATATTAATAAGAAAAACAACAACAACAACAAAAAAATACTACCTCCTCCCTCCTCTAAAACAAAAACAAAAAAAAAAACAACAACTTTTATATATTCTATATAAAAGTCCCTTTATACTTATATGTTTTCTATTCTCTTTACACTTTTGTGGCAAATTACTTTATGCTCCATTAAACCAAAAAACAACAACAACAACAAATTTAACTTAAAAAATAGCTAACAAAACCAGGATTACCTTTTTGTTAAAATTCTCACGTTATTCTTAAGAAAAATTGTTGTTTTTTGTGCCGTCGGCCTTAAACAACAACAACTACTACTACTACAATATAAAAGGATATAAATTCCCAAAAAATGGTAAGTGTAATAATTCCCCTAATGGAAAGCAGTAAAAGCAACTTTAAAAAAAAACAGAACTTGCCAAACAATTGAAAACTTGAAAACTTTAAAAAGAAATAGGGAAATGGTTAGATTGTTATTTGGGACCTTAACAGAGTGACAAAGCGTTAAAGAAACAAAAACATTTAAAGACTATCCCTGCTAGCGCCACAATGTCTATATTTGGATCGAAATCCACTCCAATGGTTGTTTAACGTGGTAGTTTACGGCGCGCGAACAGTCAAGTAAAGTCGAAGGGACTCTGTTTTGACCACTGCAATACTGTAGTCTCTTTTCCAATTTTTTTGAACTTTGTCCATCGAATATATATCCAAAATATCGTCCCCCCCTGATTCCATTTTATCACTATTTTCCTCTCTTTGGACCTTGTGCATCGATAGCAGAAAAAAGTCTACGAAAGGTTTCCTAATGTCTCTGCTCTCGACTCTATATTCCAAAAACCTTCCCCGTCTCATTCCTTAATATCTCTATCTTCCATCTCTTTCGACCTGGTGCATGGAAAAGCAGTTTAAAATGATACCTCACCAGCTTTTCAATAACTCTACTCCAGTTTCTTTTGATAATATGGATCGAAAGTATTTCAAAAATCGTCCCACCAATTCCTCAATATTAATCGGCTAGGCTCCTCAATGTCTCAACTATATTGATAATGGGGATCGAAAGTATTTCAAAAATCGACTTCATTAAAATCGTTACTCCTTCTTTATACTCTCGTTTCTTATTACACCTTCAGGAAATATTCCAAAACCTTCCCCGTCTCATTCCTTAATATCTCTATTTTCCATCTCTTTCGATCTGGTGCATCGAAAAGCAGTTTAAAATGAATCCCCAACAGTTCCTCAATAACTCTACTCCAGTTTCTTTTGATATTGGCGATCGAAAGTATTCCGAAAACCGTGTCCTCCCATTCCTCAATGCATCAACTCTCGTTTCTTTATTAGGCATCCAGGAAATATTCCAAAAACTGTCCCTTATTCCTCATTAAATCTATTTTCCATCTCACCATCTCCTCAATAACTCTACTCCAGTTTCTTTTGATATTGGGGATCGAAAGTATTGCAAAATGACCTCCCATTCTTCAATGTCTCTATTCTCGTTTCTATATTAGGCTTTCAGAATATATTCCAGAAATTGTCCCGCCTTATTCCTCATTAACTCTATTATCATTTATTTCGAGTTTGTCGAAAAGCCTCACCAGCTTCTCAATGTCTCAACTCCAGTTTCTTTTGTTTATGGAGATTGAAAGAATTTCAGAAATCTTCCCACCAATTCCTCAATAATTTTCGGCCTCAATAAGTTTAAAATGAATTCTCAACAGCTTCTCAAGATCTATACACCAGTTTCTTTATATAATATGGATCGAAAATATTCCAAAAAACAATTCCTAAATAATTTCGACCTCAATAAGTTTAAAATGAATCCTCAACAGCTTCTCAAGATCTGTACACCAGTTTCTTTATATAATATGGATCGAAAATATTCCAAAAACCGTGCCCACCAATTCTGCAATGCCTCTACTCTCATTTCGATATTCCAAAAACCGTCCCGCCTTTTTCCTCAGTTTCTTTGATACTATAAATCAAAGTATTGCAAACACGTTGCCCAACAATTCCTTATTGTCTCTACGCTCATTTCTATAAAGCGGTTCGAAAGTATTCCAAAAACCATTACCGTTCCAATTCCTCATTGAATCGATAGTACATCAAAAATCATCTCCGCCAACACCTTAAAGGTTCTACTCTATTTGAGAGTTCTTTTTATTAAAACTAACCACTCCAGCTGCTCAATGTCTCTTCTGCCATTTCGAAAAACCGTTTCCGCCAATTCCTCAAGATCTCTCTCTCTCTCTTCCTAGAGAGCTCCTATGCATATGACTTCTTGAAACTACTTTAAAGAATACAACCATTTAACAAAACTCTTTTAAGCAGATATCGGCAAACAGCTCTTATATGAGAAGGCAAATAGCTCTCCTATGTGTAGGTAAAAAGCTCTCATTAGCTGCTCAATGTCTCTTCAGCCATTTCAAAAACCGTCTTCGTCAATTCCTCAAGATCTCTCTCTCTTTCTAGAGAGCTCTTATTCATATGACTTCTTGAAACTACTTTAAAGATTACAAACATTTAACAAAACTCTTTAAAGCAGTTATCGGCAAACAACTCTCATATAAGAAGGCAAACAGCTCTCCTATGTGGAGGCAAACAGCTCTCATCACTCTTGTATAAATTCAGAAGAAACTATTTGTAAGATTTTTACTAAAACCAACCACTCCATCTGCTCAATGTCTCTGCTGCCATTTCGAAAAACCTCTCCGCCAATTTCTCAAGATCTCCTTCGCCATAGATTCTTCTTCTTATTATTATGATTTCTTGAAACTAACTTAAGCTTAAGTCGGCAAACAGCTCTCATCACTCTTGTATAAGTCCAGAAAGAATCATTTCAGAGATTATAGAGGTTTAATCTAGACAGACACTAGTCTTTATTCTGGTCTCTATTTTCAATAGAGACTAGAGTTTCTACTCTAACTGGAGACAAGAATCTCTATTCAGACTACAGACTAGAGAATGTGGATACGCTGTTCAGCTAAAGACAATATTTTCTATTCTAGCTAAAGATTATAGTCTCAAACTAAAGACTAGACAGAGTTTCTACTCTATTTAGAGACTAGAGTATCTACTCCAGCCAAAGCCTCTACTCCAGCTTTTAGATTAAACAGTGCCTAAAGAATAGAGTTTATAGATTGACTGCAGACTAAAATCTCTATCAAGAATCTCTACTTTATCTAGAAACTCTGTTCAGCTAAAGATTAGAGTATCTGCTCTAACTAAAGACTAGAGTTTTCGCAACTAGAATTAAAGACTAGAGTCTCTACTCCATCTACAGACTAGAGTCTCTACTCTAGCCAAAGATTTTTCTATTCTAGCTAAAGATTACAGTCTCTATTCTAACTAAAGACTAGAGTTTTGTCTACTCTAGCTAAAGACTAGAGTTTCTACTCTATCTAAAGACTAGAGTTTCTACTCTAACCAAAGACTATAATATAGTTAGATATTAGAGTTTCTACTCTAGTTAGAGACTAGAAACTCTATTCTAACTAGAGTTTAAAGTTTTTTCTCTGACTCGACACTGGTTTCCTAAATATATATATATATCTAGAGGCTAGAGTCTTTATCCTGCAAAGAACACTAAAGTTTAGAATCTCTACTTTGACCATAGACTAAAGTCTCTACTCTAACTAGAGACTAGATTTCATATGAGTCTTCTTTGGTTAAATCTTAAAGTGATAAGTAGGCGGAAATTTTCTACGAAGCGGAACCAATGTGTTGAAACACCTCTAACAGAGTTTCCCTGTAACGAAGACTGGCTTGGGTCCGATGAACTTGTTAAGGGTAGTGTAGCATTTACCGACGAATTCATTAGTGATACTGGGATGGTTGCCGATGTCTATATTCGTGGCATTAACATAAAAAAGGTCCCTTAAGACTACCTAATAAATGTAGGGACTTCCAAGTGGATATCCGAACAATCTGAGGTCTGTCTCAGACTTTTGATATGTTCTACGGTACATTCCTAGTCCAAAGAATGTAGAAAAGACTAGTCGTAGAATTTAAAAAGGCTGTGTTGGGTTAGCGGGCGACAATATTTGAACCTTGGCCTTAATAGAAGGCTAAAGCCAACCATTTGTCATTAATATAGGATGATCAAGACCTTATGCCCAAGACTTGCTGCATAAGCAACCATGAAACTTATTGGACTGAATAGATGTAATCTAAGGACTCTGATAGGGGATAGGACAATATCATAATGGACGCCTTGAGATTATGCGAGGATATTGAGTAGTCTCAGGGAAAAATGGATATGAAGTAGGTTCCATGACAAACTGGGAAATATTGCTGGATGCAATCGACTGGATTTTATCAGAAGAATTATACGTGTCGTTGATAGGAGGATCATGATAAAAGTCAGAATCCTCACTATGCGATTCTGACTCCTTAACATAATACTTTTGGGTTCTGAAACTAAATAATTTGATTAATCCTGTGTATTGTTCCAGCAATTTCTCTATTTAATGCACAACAACGGTCTCCAAAAGGAGTTAAACCTTATGCAGCATAAGCCTACCTGATCTAAGCCCATAACCTATAAATTTACAAGTATTTTCTTTAATTTTCAACGAAATGAAATAATAAAACTTTTTATAGTGTGATAAATAAGTTTAATATCTAAAAAGAAATTTCCATAAATTATGACTTAACAAGAGTAACATTAAATATTTATTTAACCTTAAATATTAATGAGAAAATTTAAACAAAATTTAAAGAAAATATTTCTTTAATTCTTTAAAAATAAAATCCCATAAAAAACGCTTTAAAATATTTCAAATAAAAAAATTCACTTGTTTTCAATATGGAAAAACAAATTAAATAAAAAAAGCATAAAATCTGTTTTATAACCTAAATAGACCACCTTTAGAGAATCAATTACAATTTGTTAAGAAAGATTTTCTTAACATAACAACTATCTCCATAAATGTGTAATATAAGGGATTGTAAATAGTTTTTGAGAGAATTAAGTGGATTAAATTAAAAATTTAAGATTCTTTATGAAAATAAGCTGGTGAAAGTTTGAAATCAAAGTATCCCCTGTTGTTCCTAGATTTTATAGCCGTTTTAACTGTTTTATATTCTTGTTTTGGTATTTTATTTCACCTTCATTTATTAGGTATTGATATTAAAAAATTCATTAGGTTTTGGAGTTATTATAGTTTTGGGTTATACGATACCATTACAGATATCAAATTACTTTTTTATATTTAACTAATTTTTATAAAATTCTGATCATAAAATTTTTCCGACGGTATCTTAAAATTTGTAAAAGAGAAAAAAATGGAATACACTTACCTGAATCCAAAATTATTCATTTTGCTAGAAGAAAAGAAAATAAAAAAGAATTAATTATATAACTGATTCCAACATTTTATAAAAAATAGTTCAGTTGTTGTATAGTTTAAAGTCAGCTTTAGTCTTGTTCCAGTTCTAGTTCTGTCCGAGTTCAGTTCTAGTTCTAGTTCAGTTCTAGTTCTAGTTCAGTTCTAGTTCAGTTCTAGTTCAGTTCTAGTTCAGTTCTAGTTCAGTTCTAGTTCAGTTCTAGTTCAGTTCTAGTTCAGTTCTAGTTCAGTTCTAGTTCAGTTCTAGTTCTAGTTCAGTTCTAGTTCTAGTTCAGTTCTAGTTCAGTTCTAGTTCAGTTCTAGTTCAGTTCTAGTTCAGTTCTAGTTCAGTTCTAGTTCAGTTCTAGTTCAGTTCTAGTTCAGTTTTAGTTCAGTTCTAGTTCAGTTCTAGTTCAGTTCTAGTTCAGTTCTAGTTCAGTTCTAGTTCAGTTCTAGTTCAGTTCTAGTTCAGTTCTAGTTCAGTTCTAGTTCATTTCTAGTTCAGTTGTGGTTCCACTCTTAGTTCTGTTGTAATTCAGTTCTAGTTCTGATCTATTTCTGATCTATTTCTGTTCTAGTTCAGTTCTAGTTCAGTTCTAGTTCAGTTCTAGTTCATTTCTAGTTCATTTCTAGTTCATTTCTAGTTCATTTCTTCAGTTCAGTTGTGGTTCACTTGTAGTTCTGTTGTAATTCAGTTCTAGTTCAGCTCTAGTTCAGTTCTAGTTCAGTTCTAGTTCAGTTCTAGTTCAGTTCTAGTTCAGTTCTAGTTCAGTTCTAGTTCAGTTCTAGTTCAGTTCTAGTTCAGTTCTAGTTCAGTTCTAGTTCAGTTCCAGTTCAGTTCTAGTTCAGTTCTAGTTCAGTTCTAGTTCAGTTCTAGTTCAGTGCTAGTTCAGTTCTAGTTCAGTTCCAGTTCTAGTTCAGTTCTAGATTAGTTCTAGTTCATTTCTAGTTCATTTCTAGTTCATTTCTAGTTCAGTTCTAGTTCAGTTCTAGTTCAGTGCTAGTTCAGTTCAAGTTCAGTTCTAGTTCAGTTCTAGTTCATTTCTCGTTCAGTTCTAGTTCAGTTCTAGTTCAGTTCAGTTCTAGTTCAGTTCTAGTTCAGTTCTAGTTCAGTTCTAGTTCAGTTCTAGTTCAGTTTTAGTTCAGTTCTAGTTCAGTTCTAGTTCAGTAACAGTTCAGTTCTAGTTCTAGTTCAGTTCTAGTTCAGTTCCAGTTCAGTTCTAGTTCAGTTCTAGTTCAGTTCTAGTTCAGATCTAGTTCGGTTCTAGTTCAGTTCTAGTTCAGTTCTAGTTCTAGTTCAGTTCTAGTTCAGTTCCAGTTCAGTTCTAGTTCAGTTCTAGTTCAGTTCTAGTTCAGTTTTAGTTCAGTTATAGTTCAGTTCTAGTTCTAGTTCGGTTCTAGTTCAGTTCTAGTTCAGCTCTAGTTCAGTTCAAGTTCAGTTCTAGTTCAGTTCTAGTTCAGATCTAGTTCGGTTCTAGTTCAGTTCTAGTTCAGTTCTAGTTCAGTTCTAGTTCAGTTCTAGTTCAGTTCTAGTTCAGTTCTAGTTCAGTTCTAGTTCAGTTCTAGTTCAGTTCTAGTTCAGTTCTTGTTCAGTTCTAGTTCAGTTTTAGTTCAGTTCTAGTTCAGTTCTAGTTCAGTTGTAGTTCACTTCAGTTCTAGTTCAGTTCTAGTTCAGTTCTAGTTCAGTTCTAGTTCAGTTCTAGTTCAGTTCTAGTTCAGTTCTAGTTCAGTTCTAGTTCAGTTCTAGTTCAGTTCTAGTTCAGTTCTAGTTCAGTTCTAGTTCAGTTCTAGTTCTAGTTCAGTTCTAGTTCAGTTCTAGTTCAGTTCTAGTTAGTTCTAGTTCAGTTCTAGTTCAGTTCTAGTTCAGTTCTAGTTCAGTTCTAGTTCAGTTCTAGTTCAGTTCTAGTTCAGTTCTAGTTCAATTCTAGTTCAGTTCTAGTTCTGTTCTGGTTCTGTTCTAGTATAGTTCCAGTTCAAGTTTAGTGCTAGTTCAGTTCTAGTTATGTTCTTTTTCAGTTCTACTTCGGTTCCAGTTCATTTCTAGTTAAGTTCTAGTTCTGTTCTAGTTCTGTTCTAGCTCTGTTCTAGTTCTGTTCCTGTTCTAGTTCTGTTCTAGCTCTAAATACACTGAAAAATTCTCGATCTTTTCGAGAGTAAATCAGAGTTAAATAATCAAATTATGGTATTCAATATAAATTGAAATCTGAATAGAATTTATATTAAGATTATGATCGCTATTACAATAAGCGATCTTAGGATGACTATTGGAGAATTGTAGTTAATGTTTATAAACATTATACATATGTATGTTTTTTTCTTTCTCTTCGAAATTAAGTTGAGATCAATTGTTAGCAGACAGCTGTTTTCCCTGATCTATTACTTAATAACCTTTTGTAATATTTATAGCTATAACATAAAATATAATCGAATTGCAAGATATATAGGGTTACCTGAGTCTGTAGAGGATTTGATTTATATGTTTTCTTTTAATTTTCTTTAAATTTTAATTCAAAATTTAACATTTGTAATAAAATTTTATGATTTGCTTTTAATAACTCTCTATATATACTTAACCCCCTACAAATGCACTCAATGGTAACATGTTTTTCTATACAGCTTACTTAAGCATACTTTAAGGCGGCCAATAAAAACCAAACAAAGATCATAGAGTTGTATTTGTTTTAAACAACAACAACAACTTGTATATATAGTTAAAATGAGTATGTATCTCTTAGATTTTTGACAGCTGCAAACAGCTGCTTGATTATTTGATTTTATATTTTTCTTTTTATTACATTTTACTCTCCCCATGCTGATGTTGTTGTACGTACATATGTACGTGCGGGGCTTGTATAGAAAAAGAAACAAAAAAACTAAAGATAAATATTAAAAAAAAAAATAATAATAAAAATGAGGAATAAAATAATAATAAATTAAAAGTACAAAACAAGTTACAAAGAAAAATATCATATTAAACTTAATAATTTTGTTATATTTAATAAAAGAAAACTTAATTAAATTAATAAACTAAAAGAATTAATAATATTAATAAATGTTAACTTAAGGGTCTCTAAGAAACAGATTAAATAATAGGTATAAGAAATAAAGTTTTTATTGTAAAAAGTGAAGATTTTAAATAAAATTAAAACTAATGGAAGTGTGTTTTTTATTGTTGTTTCTTTTCCAGTGGTGTGGCAACTTCTTTAAGTTGCACAGATTCCAGTACAGCTTCTAGTGAAGATGCCTCAGAACCTGGTTCTCCCTATAGTCCTCCTCATTTGGGTTTAATAAATGAGGAACAACAGCAGAACCAACAACAACAACAACAAAACAATCAACAATTAAAACTGCAGTTACAGCAGCAACAATTGGCTTTAATTAGCAATATTAGTTTAACGACTAAAACAACAACAACTACTACAACTAGCACTAGCAGCAATATGTCACCCCAAACAATACTCGTTACAAATTCTGGGGCAGGCAATGGAAGCAATAGCAACAGCTCTAACAAAACTACTGGAGGCACTAGTCAAAACTTACAAATGGCTGCCACAGCCAACACCTCAACAGCATCGTCATCATGTACATCATCATCAACAGCAACTTCATTATGTGTAAGAACTACAAATCTGCCAGCTTCTTTGACTATAACGCCCACCAGCAGCAGCAGTAGTAGCTCGAATACTGGCCACAGCCATAAAACTAAATATACAACAAATGCAAAATCCACTTGCAATACTAATAACAATAATAACAACAACAACAACAACACTGCCACATTACGTTGTTCAAATCTACCCACTTTACAATGGCCTTGGAGTACAACACCAGCATCATCAACATCAATATCATCATCGTCAACAGCGCCAAACGCCTCCTCAGGATCTCAAACATCCTTTTCCTCCTCATCCTCCACAACTGCCAATTCATCATGTTCTTCTGCCACTGTGACTTCATCCTCTTCGGTGGTGGTCACTGCAATACCCGCCACCGTAGCCACCAATACCACTTACACCACAGCTCAAAGCAAAAAACGTACAATAGCTCCTTATCTAGCAAATGCTGAAATCACTACTAATCCCTCAACAGCCAAAAAATCACGCTTAAACAATAGCCATGGCTCAGGGCCCCCAGATAACACACATGCCACTACTTTAGCGCATAATAGCAATAATACGGGAGCTAAAAGACTGAAAGCAGCCGCTTTAGAAGAGTCACAAACCAAAATTACTGGTTATTTTAAATCGCAAATGAAAGCACAAATGCAGGCCAATCATAGTAAAGCCTCTAGTGTGGTCTCCGCCAGTTTGGCCTCTTGCAGTGCTAATAATTCCATAACCACGAATGCTTTAACTATGAGTGCTCCCGCTACCACCGCTTCTCTTAATAAATATTTCAATATTTTGGCTCAATTAAAGGAAAACAATAAACAGGTCTCGCACAGCAGTAATACCGCCAATCAGGCTTCGGCAAAAAGCAACAATAACTTTAACAGTATAGCTAACACACCACAAAATACAAAACCGGTGACTAGCGCCCACAATCTAAATACTTTGCCCAGTATCACCACAGTTAATGCCAACTCGAATCCTGTCGGCGGCGCTTCAGCAGCCAATACATTTGTGGCTTCCACTAGCAAACCAGCTGTTAACAATTTGTCCATACAACCTGTGCCAATGCCTGCATTAAAGAAAATCGAACGACCCAAACCTACCAAAATAGCCCAGGTGGCTCCTAATTTAAGAAAAACTCCCTCCAATAGCCATCATTCGTATCATCAACATTCTGGCGCTAACACAGGGAAATCTCCCGCCAAAAAGCATGTGGCCATAGCTCCACGTACACCCGAAATGAAACAACAAATGCAGCAGCAACAACAGCAGTTAATGGCTAGTAAACAGGACAACAACAACAAACATCCTTTAACATTAATGGCTGCTCCCGCCTCAACAACAACAAACACACAATTAACTGCAACAGCAGCAGCTGGGGCAACTACAGCTAATGCTGCACCAGCGGTTTTATTAACTGCCATACGTTTGCCTACCAACCCCACCAACAACATACAAACGTCAACGGCCCAAGCATTAACGGGTAAATTGGCCACTACTGCCAATAAACTAACAAACTCCTCCTCGAACTCACCATCAACAGTGGCCGCCTCTGCCACCAATAATGCTCTAACGGCAGCGCCACCACCTCCACCTCCCGCCACAGCCACTACGTTATATCAATTGCCCGCCGTACAATTACCAAATCTAGTCCAATTGCCTCAACTATTGGCCGCCAATGGAGCCAATATTATGCAATTAAACAATCTAGCCACGGCAGCCAATATGGTGAAAAACGCCCAAGCTAATAACACACAGAATCCCAACAACACAGCCGGCAACAATCAAACACAATCTACCCAACAGGCGGCACAGGCAGCAGCGGCTCAAATCTTTTTAAATGGCACTGTTTTTAAACTGCAACAGTTTACAACAGCCACAACAACTACGGCCACTTCGGCCGCCATGGCAGCCCCCACTAATACAGGCAACCCTTTTAATCTTTTGAGTGCTGCTGATCTGCAAGATTTGCTAATCAAACAGCAGCAGCAACAACAGTTACAGCAATTGCAACAACAAAAAGCCAATTTAAATACTTTAACAGCGGCGGCCTCAGCTAATAGTTTTCAGGAAATATTCCAGCAACAAATAGCCGCCGCCATAGCTGCTAATCAGCAGCAGCAACAGCAGCAGGCTCAACTGCAGCAATTGCAGAGACTAGGAGCAGCTGCTAATATACAACAGCAACCGGTTTTTATGGCCACACCAGCAGGTCTTTTACTTAATGCTGCTTCATTGCCGGCCATGTTGGCTCAGGCGGCAGCTGCCTTGGCAGTTAATCATCAACAACAGCAGCAACAACAACAGCAACAAAAGGCCATAGCATTGCCGGCCTTGCAACCCATACAACCGGCTCCTTTACCGGCTTTAAGTTCAATTTTTGCTCCTCCTCCTCCACCAGCGCCTCAAACTGGGGAACAACAACAACAACAACAGCAGGATTTGCAGCAACAACAACTACAACAATTGGCTTTGGCTCAACAGCAATTTATTAACAGCAACCAACCTCCTCCCTTGGCCACAGTGGCTTTAACTAATGCAGCACAACAGCAACAGCAACAACAATTAACGCACAATACTAACTGCAACAATAACTCAAATATCAATACAATCTCGAATAATTTAACAGCAACTGCAACAAGCCAGCAACAACAGCAGCAGCAGCAGCTAAACACCACTAACCCAACCCTAATGACAGTAGCAACAGCCAATAATATAAACAACACAACGACGACAACGACGACAACAACAACAACCAACAACACTGCCAAATTGGCAATAGTAAAAGCCAATAACAACAATGTTTTAGCCACTAACTATACAACCTTAAGTTCTCAACCACCACCCTTAGTTACCATATCAAATAGAGGCAACACTGGAGCTAACTCACTCAACTCGAAAGCCCAACAAAATAACCCCAAACCGTATCAAAAACGTCAAACAAATGGAAAACAACAGACCCTAAGTGGGAAATCGGTTAATAAATCACCGGGAGGTAAAATAACCACAGCCTCAGGTAAAATAATAGCTACGCCAACAACACCGCCTCCACTGGTGCCCACACTAACAGCCAATCAACAGCAACCGGTAGCCTTGACCTCAGCCCCTGCCAAGGGCGTCAGGGCAACTAATTTAACCAAATCCCATAGTAGTGTCAATAGTAAAATGCCTACACCCGCTTTGGTAAGCATTTCCAGCACCAGTACTACTGCCATACAGCCCAAAACAACGCAATCTTTAGGCTCGAATAGTGTTACCATAAGTCCGGTAATGTCGGCCACCAAGACAACACAATTGGTTAATATAGCTCCCAAACTAACAACAGCCAGCAGTACGCAGACCATGGTGGCTATGAAAACGGGTAATCTAATGAATTTAAGCAGCAGCAGCAGCAACACTTCTTCCTCAGCTGTAACAAAAACCAAAGTAAGCGTGAGCTGCAGCAGCAGCAGTAGTGTGAACACAAAACCTGTCATTTCAGCTAGTTCAGCCACCACCACCACCAACACCACCACTCCCACAGATCTCTTTGATTTAGTTAAAAACTCTAATGGAGCTATAAGTATAACACCAGCTCCTGTTATAGCAGCAGCAACCGTAGCCGCACCAGCTAGCTTTAATTTAAGCTCCAACTTTGTGCAAAGCAATAACTTTAAAAATATTAGCAGCAGCTGCACCAGCAACAACACCACTACAACCTCCACAACTTCGCTTAAAACTTTGGAAAGTTTAAGTAAAATTAAAGATGAACCTGTGGACGATTCCCTAAGCCAAACGTGCATAAACAAGGAAAAGGATTTGGTTAAATGTGAAAATCCTATTACCTTCACAGGACAAATTCCGGGCAATTTGAAAATCAAACAAGAACAGGATGTTTTAAGTACCAATCATGAGCTACAAGAAACAGTCCAACCTAATAACTTACTCAATAATGAGTGTTCTTCTTCTTCCTCCTCCTCCTCATCATCATCGTCTTCATCATTTAGTTCAAATTCCATAACAGTATCTTCAGCAGCCGATTTATCGCTAGAGGCCTCTACACCAGCCTCCATAACTAGCTCAGAGCCTCATTCACCGCCCTGCTCCATATTGTCTCCTTTAAATAACAACTGTGCAAACTCAGTGACTCCCAATCCCTGTTCAAACTCCAACTCTTTAAGTGATTCGAATTCCTCAAATTCCTGCGCCATGGGAGCCTCTTCAAGGGATATGCTCAGCGAAATGGTTACCTCTACTTGCATATCCTCCGATTCCTCGGAGGCTAGTATAAGTGTAACACTAACGGAGAATGAGGAAAGTAAATTGAGTTTGACAGAAGATAAGTCCGCTAGCTGTAGCCAAGAAAATGATAAACCCTCACGGGAAGTTAATACACCCGAATCGGGTATTGGTGGCAGTCTTAGTAATACCGAAAGTATGGATTCTTCTTCCAAATCTTCAAGTGGTGAAATTTCCTCTTCACATTCATCTTCGGAATCCACATCATCGGATATACTCAACTCTCCTGCTTCATTACAATCCGAACCACAAACACCACCCGCTACACCCATGATACAGGACACCATCAGCAATGAGGAATCACAAAATGAAACCTCCTCCTCTCTAACTTCCTCGCTAACGCAGCCTCAACCATCCTCAGATTCGAACTCCAATTCGAAACAATCATCAACTTCCTCCAGCTTAACGTCTCTACAATATTTTGATTTACTCTCCACCACCATAGATACGGAAGCCTTTACAAAAGATGCACCCAAATGTGCCATCTCACCCATACTCTCACAACCCAAAACCATACGTTTTCCCGCCAATGGTGGTAAAGGTAATAAACGACATGATGGTGTCTGCTATTGGCATAAATGCAATAAGAAACATGATAGCAATTCCAAGCTATTGGATCATATGCAACATCAACATGTTAATACCCAAACGGGACCCTTCTCCTGTCTCTGGGTGGGTTGTAAGGTATATCAAAAGGAATCCTGTTCACGTAGGTGGCTGGAAAGACATGTTCTCTCGCATGGCGGTTCTAAGCAATTCAAGTGTATTGTTGAGGGTTGCGGTTTAAGATTTGGTTCTCAGGTAGGTTACCTCTTCCCCCCTAAGCACCTTAACATCCCCTCAAATACTTTATTAACCTTTTAATTTCTTTATTTTATTAGTTGGCTTTACAAAAGCATGTTAACAATCACTTTACCGCCACCGAAAATAAGGAAAGCACTAATAAACGCACTTCAGATCCTCCGGTACCCAAGCAATTGCGTAAAAATGGCAAAAAATTACGCTACAGACGTCAACCATTTTCCGGTTAGTATTTAAACAACAGTTTTTAAATTAACTTTGTGTGTTTTATTTAGGGTTTTTTTTAATTTCCGTTCTCTTTCTTTTCTTATAGCCCGCATGTTTGATTTCTTTGATGCTGGCATTATGGAGGGTTTACAACATCGTTTACGTCAAATTTCTACTTTAACCAATGGCTGTAATTCAATTACATTCCAAGGTCGATGTATTATGAAACGTAAAAACTTTGCCGGAAATATGGAATGTTTTGTTCAGTGGTCACCAAGAGAAATGTAAGTAGAGAAAATAACTAAAGACTAGATTGAGACTAGACTACATTCTCCTGATCTATAATCGTACGAGAACTGAACATGAACAAAACTAGAACATAACTAGAACAGAACTGGAACAGAACTAGAACAGAACTAGAACAGAACTAGGACAGAACTAGAACAGAACTAGAACAGAACTAGAACTAGAACAGAACCAGAACTAGAACAGAACTAGAATAGAACTAGAACAGAACTAGAACAGAACTAGAACAGAACTGGTACAGAACAGGAACAGAACTAGAACAGAACTAGAACAGAACTAGAACAGAACTAGAACAGAACTAGAACAGAACTAGAACAAAACTAGAACAGAATTAGAACAGAACTAGAACAGAACTAGAACAGAACTAGAACTGAACTAGAACAGAACTAGAACAGAACTGGAACAGAACTAGAACAGAACTAGAACAGAACTAGAACAGAACTGGAACAGAACTGGAACTAGAACAGAACTAGAACAGAACTAGAACAGAACTAGAACAGAACTGGACAACTAGAACAGAACTAGAACAGAACTAGAACAGAACTAGAACAGAACTAGAACAGAACTAGAACAGAACTAGAACAGAACTAGAACAGAACTAGAACAGAACTAGAACAGAACTGAACAGAACTAGAACAGAACAGAACAGAACTAGAACAGAACTAGAACAGAACTAGAACAGAACTAGAACAGAACTAGAACAGAACTGGAACAGAACTAGAACAGAACTAGAACAGAACTAGAACAGAACTAGAACAGAACTGGAACAGAAGTGGAACAGAACTGGAACAGAACTGGAACAGAACTAGAACAGAACTAGAACTGAACTAGAACAGAACTAGAACAGAACTAGAACAGAACTGGAACAGAACTAGAACAGAACTAGAACAGAACTAGAACAGAACTAGAACAGAACTAGAACAGAACTGGAACAGAACTGGAACAGAACTAGAACAGAACTAGAACAGAACTAGAACAGAACTGGAACAGAACTAGAACAGAACTGGAACAGAACTGGAACAGAACTAGAACAGAACTAGAACAGAACTGGAACAGAACTGGAACAGAACTAGAACAGAACTAGAACAGAACTAGAACAGAACTAGAACAGAACTAGACAGAACTAGAACAGAACTGAAACAGAAACTGGAAACAGAACAGAACTAGAAAAGAACTAGAACAAGAACCTAGAACAGAAACTTAGAACCAGAACTAGAACTGAACTAGGAACAGAACTAGAACAGAAACTAGAACAGAACTAGAACTGAACTCCAGAACTGGAAACTAGAAACTGAACTAGACTTGAAACTAGAAATGGAACTAGAAATGAAACTAGAACAGAACTAGACACAGAACTAGAACAGAACTAGAACAGAACTTAGAACAGAACTAGAACAGAACTAGAACAGAACTAGAACAGAAACTAGAAACAAGAACTAGACGAACTAGAACTAGAACAACTAGAACGAACTAGAACAGAACTAGAACAGAACTAGAACAGAACTCGAACAGAACTAGAACAGAACTAGAACCGAACTAGAACAGAACTAGAACAGAACTAGAACAGAACTAGAACAGAACTAGCACAGGAAACTAGAACAGAACTAGAACAGAACTAGAACAGAACTAGAACAGAACTAGAACAGAACTAGAACAGAACTAGAACAGAACTAGAACAGAACTAGAACAGAACTAGAACAGAACTAGACAGAACTAGAACAGAACTGGCACAGAACTAGAACAGAACTGGAACAGAACTAGAACTGAACTAGAACTGAACTAGAACTGAACTAGAACTGAACTAGAACAGAAGTAGAACAGAACTAGAAGAACTAGAACAGAACTAGAACAGAACAAGAGCAGAACAAGAACAGAAACTAGAACAGAGCTAGAACAGAACTAGAACTGAACTAGAACTGAACTAGAACTGAACTAGAACTGAACTAGAACTGAACTAGAGCTGAACTAGAACTGAACTAGAACTGAACTAGAACTGAACTAGAACTGAACTAGAACTGAACTAGAACTGAACTAGAACTGAACTAGAACTGAACTAGAGCTAGAACTAGAACTGAACTAGAACTGAACTAGAACTGAACTAGAACTGAACTAGAACTGAACTAGAACTGAACTAGAACTGAACTAGAACTGAACTAGAACTGAACTAGAACTGAACTAGAACAGAACTAGAACAGAACTAGAACAGAACTAGAACAGAACTAGAACAGAACTAGAACAGAACTAGAACAGAACTAGAACAGAACTAGAACAGAACTAGAACAGAACTAGAACAGAACTAGAACAGAACTAGAACAGAACTAGAACAGAACTAGAACCGAACTAGAACAAAACTAGAACGGAACTAAAACAGAACTAGAACAGAACTAGAACTAGAACTAGAACTGAACTAGAACAGAACTAGAACAGATCTAGAACAGAACTGGAACAGAACTAGAACAGAACTAGAACAGAACTAGAACAGAACTGGAACAGAACTGGAACAGAACTAGAACAGAACTAGAACAGAACTAGAACAGAACTAGAACAGAACTAGAACAGAACTAGAACAGAACTGGAACAGAACTGGAACAGAACTAGAACAGACTAGAACAGAACTAGAACAGAACTAGAACAGAAACTAGAACAGAACTAGAACAGAACTAGAATAGAACAGAACTAGAACAGAACTAGAATAGAACAGAACTAGAACAGAACTAGAACAGAACTAGAACAGAACTAGAACAGAACTAGAACAGAACTAGAACAAAACTAGAACAGAACTAGAACAGAACTAGAACAGAACTAAAACAAAACTAGAACGGAACTAGAACAGAACTAGAACAGAACTAGAACAGAACTAGAACAGAACTAGAACTAGAACTGAACTAGAACAGAACTAGAACAGAACTGGAACAGAACTAGAACAGAACTAGAACAGAACTAGAACAGAACTAGAACAGAAACTAGAACAGAACTAGAACTAAAGCAGAACTAGAACAGAATTAAAACAGAACTAGAACAGAACTAGAACTAGAACAGAACTAGAACAGAACTGGAACAGAACTAGAAACTAAGAACTAGAACAGAACTAGAACAGAACTAGAACAGAACTAGAACAGAACTAGAACAGAACTAGAACAGAACTAGAACAGAACTAGAACAGAACTAGAACAGAACTAGAACAGAACTAGAACAGAACTAGAACAGAACTAGAACAGAACTAGAACAGAACTAGAACAGAACTAGAACAGAACTAGAACAGAACTAGAACAGAACTAGAACAGAACTAGAACAGAACTAGAACAGAACTAGAACAGAACTAGAACAGAACTAGAACAGAACTAGAACAGAACTAGAACAGAACTAGAACAGAACTAGAACAGAACTAGAACAGAACTAGAACAGAACTAGAACAGAACTAGAACAGAACTAGAACAGAACAGAACTAGAACTGAACTAGAACTGAACTAGAAATGAACTAGAACCGAATAGGAACTAAACTAGAACTGAATTTTCTTTTATTTTTTTAAATTTTCTAACGATTTTTTTTATTTTTATTATATTAGAATTTCCGATGAATGGCTGCCCGAGTCAACGGAACCTTTCCTGAAAACTGTAAATATTAAACAAATGAAACCAGCTGAAAAGAATAAAGTTGAAAGTCTGCTAATGACAGCCTACAAAATGCCCTATTCACCAACTATCTTTGAAAATGATTATGCATTAAGTCAACAATATCAGCGAACGAGTGAAAAACAGGATAAAGAACAAGAAACTGAGAATGATAATGACGATGAAGAAGAAGAAGACGAGGAAGATAATGAGGAGGAAGATGAAGAAGAGGAAGATGCCACCACAACGGCCGAAACAATATCAAGTTATCAAAATGTTTTAACCATAACCAATATACAAATGCAACAACGTAAAAAACATCCTAGAAAACCACAAAATCGTATTATAATAACACGTTAAGAGAGTAAAATAGAGAGCGAGAGAGAGATGTCGCTCTTTTGCTTAAGTGGTGCTGTTTAAGAAATAAACAAAAACAAAACAACAAAAAGTATTTCCTGTAACAAATTAAAGCAACAAAACCCCCCTTTTAGTTGTAATTTACTTATTTTATTTTATTTTTTTATATTATTGTTTTAATTTAAATTAGTTTTTATTTTTGTAAATAGTTATTTTTTATATTTTATATAAAATTGTAAATTTTTTTTATTAAAAAAAAAGTAGTAAAAAAACTTAAATTTAGTTTTAATTAAGATTTTTTTAAACTAAACTTTTCTTTTGAAAGACAAACGAGCCACAGTGACAACATTTAGTTTTAATTTTATTTTTTATTAAAAAAATTTTCTTTATTATAAAAAGAAATTTTCTTATAATTGATGTAGTAGCCAGGTGATATGATATTTTTATTAAAAAAATCCACACACAATTTAATTAAATAAAAAAAAAACGTAAAAAATAAATGTCGTAAAATGTAAAAAAAAGTTTTTAATAAATGTGCGTAAATCAATAGGCAATATCACTGCCATATATTTAAACAAAAAGAAAAAAACCCAACCCTGTATGTAATATTATTAACAAAAACACTCAAAAATATTATTAATTAATTTAATTTATATAATAAAAAAAAAACAAAAAACATACAAAACACTTCTTATATTAATTATTATATTTAAAATAGTATTTAAATTTAAACATAAACAACTGCAAACGAGAAAAAACAAAAACAAAATCATATAAAAATTAAAACAACAATTTTATGATAATCATTAGTTTTTTAAAACAAAAAAGTAGTATAAAGTTAATCCCCACTTTCCTACTCACCCGCTGTCCTCTATCAAAAAATATTATAAACAAATGAATTGCATTTTAGACAATTCATTTAAATTATTAGAACAAAAAAAATTACTACAACAAAAGCTTTGCTTTAGTTTTATTAATGTGTCATTAGAAAAAAACAACAACTACAAAAAATAATAATTTTAAATAATTCTTTACAAAAAAAAAAAAAAAAAAAAACACTAAAAATTGTTTTAATTTGAGACAAAGTTTTTGAAAACAAATCCCACTGTAAAACCCTTAAGAGATAAAAAGACTCTACTCTTTTTGTATCTCTTAAGGAGTCTCTACTCTCGATAGAAACTAGAGTCTCTACTTTCGATAGAAACCAGAATCTCTATACGCAATAGAGACTCGATAGAAACCAGGATATCTACCCTCTATAGAAGCTAAAGTCTCTACTCTCGATAGAGACTAAGAAGCTCTTTCCTCGATAAAGACTCTTTTCTCGATAGAAACTAAGGTCCCTTCCTCAAATAGAGTAGATAGCAAAGCATAGTCCCGATTATGGATTAGACTATAGAATAGTCTATAGTCCCGACTAAAGATTTGTCCATAGTCCCGACTATAGATTAGTCTATAGTTATGACTATAGATTAGTCTATAGTTAAGACTATAGATTAGTCTATAGTTAAGACTATAGATTAGTCTATAGTTCAGACTATAGATTAGTCTATAGTTAAGACTATAGATTAGTCTATAGTTCAGACTATAGATTAGTCTATAGTTAAGATAGTCGAGATAAGTCTATAGTTAAGACTATAGATTAGTCTATAGTTAAGATAGTCGAGACTATAGATAAGTCTATAGAGTTTAGTCTATAGTCCCAACTATTGTTTAGTCTATAGTCAAGACTATAGTCAAGACTATAGATAAGTCTATAGTTCAGACTATAGATAAGTCTATAGTCCGGACTATAGATAATTCTACAGTCAAGACTATAGATAAGTCTATAGTAAAGGCTACGGATAAGTCTATAGCCACGAATATTGTTTAGTCTACAGTCCAGAATGTAGTTTAGTCTACAATCCCGCCTATAGTTTATTCTATATTCCCGGCTATAGATTGGTCTATAGTCCCGACTATAGATTAGTCTATAGTCCCGACTATAGATTAGTCTACAGTCCCGACTATAGACTAGTCTACAGTCCCGACTATAGACTAGTCTATACTCCCGACTATAGATTAGTCCATAGTCCCGACTATAGATTAGTCCATAGTCCCGACTATAGATTAGTCTATAGTCCCGACTATAGATTTGCCTATAGTCCCGACTATAGATTAGTCTATAGTCCCGATTATAGATTAGTCTATAATCCCGACTATAGATTAGTCTATAGTCCCGACTATAGATTAGTCTATAGGCACGACTATAGATTAGTCTATAGTCCCGACTATAGATTAGTCTATAGTCCCGACTATAGATTAGTCTATAGTCCCGACTATAGATTAGTCTATAGTCCCGTCTATAGATTAGTCTATAGTCCCGACTATAGATTAGTCTATAGTCCCGACTATAGATTAGTCTATAGCCCCGACTATAGATTAGTCTATAGTCCCGACTATAGATTAGTCTATAGTCCCGACTATAGATTAGTCTATAGTCCCGACTATAGATTAGTCTATAGTCCCGACTATAGATTAGTCTATAGTTCCCACTATAGATTAGTCTATAGTCCTGTCTACAGATAAGTCTATAGTCCCGAATATAGTTTATTCTACAGTCCCGACTATAGTTTAGTCTACAATCAAGCCTATAGTTTATTCTATAGTCCCGACTATAGATTACTCTATAGAAATGAACATTTTAATTTCTTGTCTCTATTTTCATACACGCCCTTAAAGGGTTAACTATAAAGTCATTTAGAGTTATATATGTGGAGAATAAACTTTTTCGAGTTAAAGCTCTTTTAAAGCTTTTTTTTTATAAAAAAAAAACTCTTCAAATACGTCCTCATAGATCTTGTCTCTTATAAGTTTCGAACCATTTTTATAATCTGGTGTTAATTAATGCAAATTATTTGTTTATTTCTTATATTTTCCGATTTATTTAAACTCGATGAGGAATTTGTAACCTACTACAGACTCTTCTTTTAAAATGCTATTAAATTTTACCGTCTATAGTCCATCCTATAGAGTATTGTTCTTTCTATTCTTTCTAAAAATAAAATACTACAGTCCACACTATGGAATAGTCACTAGATCAGACTATAGCTATAGTCCAGACTATAGATTCGACTATATTCAAATATAGATTAGTCCATAGTCTCCACTATAGATTATTCTATAGTCGTGACTATAGTCTAGTCTGGACTATAGGTTAGACTATAGTCTTAACTATAGATTAGTCTTTAGTCTCGTCTATATATTGGTCTATAGTCTCGACTATAGATAAGTCTATAGTCTCGACTATAGATAAGTCTATAGTCTCGACTATAGATAAGTCTATAGTCTCGACTATAGATAAGTCTATAGTCTCGACTATAGATAAGTCTATAGTCTTGACTATAGATAAGTCTATAGTCTCGACTATAGATAAGTCTATAGCCTCGACTATAGAAGTCTATAGTCTCGGCTATAGATAAGTCTATAGTCTCGACTATAGATAAGTCTATAGTCTCGTCTATAGATAAGTATTTAGTCTCGACTATAGATTATTTACAGTCGTGACTACAGATTAGACTATAGTCTTGACTATAGGTTAGATTACAGTCTTGACTATAGGTTAGTCTATAGTGTCGACTATAGGTTAGTCTATAGTCTTGACTTAGATTAGTCTATAGTGTTGACTATAGATAAGTATATAGTCTCGACTATAGATAAGTATATAGTCTCGTCTATAGATAAGTATTTAGTCTCGACTATAGATTATTCTATAGTCGTGACTACAGATTAGACTATAGTCTTGACTATAGATAAGTCTATAGTCTCGACTATAGATAAGTCTATAGTCTCGACTAGAGATAAGTATATAGTCTCGACTACAGATAAGTCTATAGTCTCGACTACAGATAAGTCTATAGTCTCGTCTATAGATAAGTCTATAGTTTCGTCTATAGATAAGTCTATAGTCTCGACTATAGATTAATCTATAGTCTTGACTATAGATTAATCTATAGTCTTGACTATAGTTTTGACTATAGACTAGTCTATAGTCTGGACTATAGAGTAGTCTATATTCTGAACTATAGATTAGTCTATAGTCTCGACTATAGTTTAGTCCATAGTCTCGACTATAGTTTAGTCCATAGTCTCGACTATAGTTTAGTCCATAGTCTCGGCTATAGATTAGTCTATAGTCTCGACTATAGATTATTCTATAGTCTAGATTATAGATTATTCTATAAGCAGTCTCGACTATAGATTTGTCTATAGTCTCGACTATAGATTAAGCTATAGTCTCGACTATAGATTAAGCTATAGTCTCGACTATAGGTTAGTCTATAGTCTATAACCTCGTCTAAAGATTAGTCTATAGTAGAGTTTTGTAATTAAAACTTCAATAAATTCATCAATAAGTTATTTGAGTCTCTTCTTACTACTTTATGATCCTACGAACCCTAAATTTTTTCTTAAATTTTCTTTAGAATTATAAAAACTTTCTCACATTTTAAAACAAATTTGGAATTTATTTTTTTTAATAGTTTAAATGACTGTTTAAAAAAAACAAAATGATCTCTAATAGAGAATATTGTATATAAATAATTTGGAATAGAAAATATTTAATTTAAAAAATAGTTTATAAACAAAATGCTGCCCCTTTAAATTAAACTTTAAAGTGTAAATAATAAATGCTAAATTAAACAGCCAATACAATGCAAATATATTAAGTTTAAACAGAAAAACGATAAACAAATTTTTGTTTAAGTTCCTTTTTAAATCCCTCATAACTTGCTGATTTATAAAATTTAGTTTTAATTATTGTATAGAAAACAAAAATATATATAATAAAATTGAAAATAAAATAATTAATTAAAAACAAACACAAAAACTTTTTCAAAAATTATTAATAACAAGAAAGCTTTTCTTTAAAACTAGTTTTGCTTGGACAAATTTAGTCAAAATAATATAAAAATAATTATTTTTTAAGTTTTTTTTTTATTTAAATTTTTTTTATAATAATTTATAATTCTTTTTTTAAAAATAATTTAAAAATAAAATTTATAAATAATAAATAAAAAAAAAATAATTTAAAATATGAGTTGCCGTTTTTTATTTTGTTTTATTTTAAGTTTGGTGCCTTTTTAATGGAAAATATAAAATATTAAAAGAAAAATTAATAATAATAAAATTATAAATGTTAATTGTTAGCTTTGAAACCCCTAAAACCGTATCTTAAATAAAAAGCGTCTCTTACACTATAAAGGGAAATAATTTTCGACTAAAGGAAGAAACAAAAACCCTATAAAATATGTATAAACAAAAAAAAAAAAAACACTGCCAAAATTTAACATAACCTTAAAATATAAATAAAAATTCTTAACAAAAAAAAAAACCCTTAAGAAAACAAGCTACGACTGAGTATTACTTAAAAGAAAGTAAAATTTTGCATAAAACTAAATTGTAAAATATAAAGAAAAAAAAACAACAGTAAATACTTAAACTTATTACTTTAAAGCAAAAAAAAAAATAAAAAATAAAACAAAACTGCATATTATTAATAAATTTAAAACAACAACAACAATTATACATATATAAACTATATACAATTATAACTGTGTAGTAGAAATAGTTGTAAGTACTTTAAAACAAAGATCTCCCAAAAAATTAATAATATACCTAACACTCGTAAATAATTTAATTAAAAAA